ACGTATTGGTTTCTCTGCATAAACTCCATCATATGAATCATATTTAATTAAAGGAGTGACACTAATCTACACGTTGATTCCGTCTCAGTATAAGGCTATTGCTAATGATCTCAGAAATAACTGTTCTTTTTGTCGAACAACTGGTTACTTCTACTGGAGACTCCATGCTAACATATTATGACCTCAATATTCAACCTGAGTTCTCGTCTATGCGCTGTATTCCTAAATGGTTCAATATTCTGCAAGAAAGCATGCTCGCCGACCCTAGTAATGGAGCAATAATACATAATTACTCGCATTCAAATAATTTTGCATTTGACTTCTCACCATCGACAAAACGTGCTGAAATAATATCCTTTGTATTAGGATGGAATTTTGGACACAACAAATCTTTCGTTGGAAGATTAATTAAAACCGAGAAGCATTATGCGCATATTATGCATGTCCATCTAAAAAGCGGACATGACAGTAAGACATTACTTGCTGACTGTTCTCGATGTGTTCTACACGATCTACAGACATACATTCCATACCAAACTACTGACAAAGATCACAAATGCTTCTTCATTGTTCCTATTAATCTTTGCTTTTATATTCCAACACATCACAATACTACTGAATCCTCATATGGATGCTTGTGATCAATTAATTTACTTAACGAACTCGCATCCACTTTTATACAACTCTGCTTTCTGCTTTACCTGCATGATCTTTCATCACACCTGCTTCTCCTTCCTTTATCGAGAAATTTATTCCTTCTTAGCATTTACAAATTTACTAAATTTTCGCTCTCAATTCAGTTCCTACTCTTTCTTAGAATTCTATACTGATGGATCCTTGATTAATCTTGGCTCGCCTATTATTAGAATGGGTATTGCTTGGCTTCAAACTGCAATAGTAGCTCCACAACTTTCATATTCTACTATTTTCACTGCTTCCTTTCCATCATCCTCAACTGCTGAATTAACCGCTATCTTTACAGCCATTCTAGTTTCTCCACGCGGATGCAACGTCAATATCTTCACTGATTCTTATACTGTTATTTCACAACTTAACAGGTATAATCTTCTATCAAACATATCTCCATCAGTAAGACCTCTTCTCAAAATTGTCAATGTTCACATTTGGCAATATCTGTTTCAAATCATCAATGAGTCTTCGCTTAAGGTCAAACTGAATAAAGTTAAGGCACACTCAGAAGATTCCTTCAACGATACCGTAGATTTACTGGTAAAAAACTCGCTGAATACCCCCGCACTAAACCTCATTATCAACGATCATTGGCATTCTACTTTTTATTATAATAAAAGGGCAATTGCTTTACCTATCAGACTATTTATCAAAGAAATCACATGCGCAACGGAATTCTCAGCATTCTTGAATCTCAACATTATTCAAAAATATCTTATCTTGGATATCGATTGGACGATCACCATATTTTGTATTAAAGACAACATTGCCTCTAACGTTACCAACTACGAAGCCTCAGCCTTAACAAAAAAGAAACTCTAAAAATTACTTGAAATGTTCCTTACAATAGAAACTCTCAAAATATAACATCCTTTAATATTTGATAATACACCAAATTGTGTCTTATGTAACACTGACGTGGAAAATTTTGCTCACATTTGGACTTGCCTTTTAGTTCTACATAAAACCCAACTGGTCATAAAGAATGCCAAGGCTTCACTTAGCATTATCATCCAATCTGATCCTCTGGACAGGCGAATCAACCAACTCAACATTTGGTCATTATCTCTGATATCTTCTTTTATGTTCATTGACTTGATCAAAGGTTTCATCTCATCCACTCTAGTTAACCAAGTATTGTTATCTCTGACTACTCAAGATGCTACCAATGCAGCATTATCTTATTTTATGCACTTTATATATGAACAATCACAAGAGATATGGATTGAGCGTTATTCAATGCTAAAAGATTTCAAATCGGCTAACGGTATAACGAATGCTTTGAAAAAATCTCATACTAATAATTCAGGATATAGGTACTTTATTACTAATTCTATGGTTGAAGCTTCAACTTTAATTAATAATATGGTCTGACAAGGAACTCAATGGATAAATTTTTGGTGCAGTAGGGGCCAAGCCCTTTCCTTTTTCTGATTACTGGAAATGTAATAATACGGTTCTGATTGTGTTGGATTCTGGGGAAGTGCAGGGTCAGTCTTGATTTAAATAGTTTCATGATTATTTAGATAGAGATTTTCGTTAAATTCTGAATTTATGTAATTTTGTTATTATTTTTCAATAAAGTTTTTGTGAAACTACTGCACTTAAAAAAAAAAAAAAACTTATTCGTCAAAAAAAAACTCTTTCTCCTTTTCCACAATAGCATCTAAGAGAAAGAATTCCAAACAACGAGATCACTCAACGTCTTCACATATTATCAAAATAATGCTAATAACTCCAATAAAAAGCCAAACCTAACGCAAACTAGAGATAATACTCCAACTCCTAGTAGCTCAACAACAGTTGTACCTTCAGAAACAATGGAAATTGATCCAATACCTTTAGATAAATGAAATGGCAAAGAGGAGGATATTACTCCAAAAGCCCTCAACGTCGACAAAGCATATGACTTATCTAAAAATCTTCTTGATAGAAACTACAAATCACCTCAAGCCTTTGATAGGCCTAAACCAACTTATCACACATTTTTTCCTTTAAACAACCTTCCTGGAAAATAGCCGCAACAAAAAGTCTCCTTTATTATTGACTTCATTTTCGATCACTATGATTCGTTCACTGGTGCAGTTGCTTCAAAACACCTGGACGATATCACTTTTTGAATTGCTAAAATTTTCTTTCAAAATAAAGAACATAGAGACTACGTGTGTACTGTTAAATTACTAAATATGGATAATCGCACATTTTCACCCTTAGAGATCGTCCCCAAACATCAATTTGTTCCGGCTCAGTCGATCAAAGTTACAGAAATTCTTTTAGATGCAACGGAACACAGAATTCGAACAGTATTCTCCAAATTGAGAATGATCGTCAGGCTCACAATAGACACAAAAAACCTTTGGCAGCAGGCGACTATTACTTATAGCCCTGACTCTAATTTTGATAATATAAAAAAAAGACATGGACTTTTTGTGCTCAACAACATGGTTAGATATCACATGTGTGATCTACCAAAAAAGGATATTCTTGCAAAATCAAAATTTTCTGCCAAATTGGCTGGGCTTCCTAGGTTTACGACAGGAAAGTAACTTATAGAACTTGGGCATATGTTGAATGCTACTGCTTGGATTATATCGAGGGCTAGATCTAATTATTTCCCACTCTAGCACGCATTAGCTCTGATGATGACATTGAAGCTGCAATTAGTAATGATAATCTTACTATTGACAACAAATATGTGACTTGGACCCAATCAAATGCAAAGCTCTGTGCAATTTGTTCGTCTCTTCATCATAAAGCTAGCAAGTGTTCTAGAAAGAGAAGAACTCCTGATAATCGCAACATACAAAAATTATATCAACGCTTTCAACCGGCACAATTCACAAATTATAAAATGCCATTAAAACCCTTAAAAAGTACAGTTAATCTGAACGTTACCTTTACGCACATGACTGGAAATTCCTAAGAACCCAAACCTTCCTTTAATAATAAAATGAAAGGACAAAAGAATTCGCATAATAAAAAGCTAACACCAAGGAACACGTATGAGACCAATGATACATACAACCAACAAACAAGTTCATAGTCTGATGATATTTCTGATACATTGAATGATCATTTATTTAACTAAACAGTTGTGTCAACCCCCTCAATGTACTTGGTGAATGGTACAAGAAAAGGTGGATTTATGCACGAAAATAATCAGAATGATTTTAAAGAATTTGTCCGACAACAATTTACTGCATTTAATGAAAACCTCTGCTATTTAGTAAAATCATTTGATTTAATTATGCAACGTGTGGCTGCTATCAAGAAGTCAATAAACATTAAAGTAATTACTCCTTCAGAAGCTGATGCTAAGAACCTTGAAAGAGATGATGCGGAAAGCATGACTTGTGATGAAATCAAACCTAAGATTGATACATCATCCTCCATTATTATGCAATAATGAAAAACAATTGAGGGATTGAAGAGCGTTAATCAGATGCATCAAAATTGTCTTAAATCCTTCACAATGACGGTCAACACTTTAGTTAAATCTTGTGCTGCATTTCAATCCATTCTGGTACAAAACAAATTGTTGCCTAAGGAACTTGCTAATAATATGTTCCCTTTAGGAGATGCTTTTGACAGCGATGTTGATCAGTATCTCAAGGATCTTCCACAATTTTAATATTTTTTAATATGAACACTGTCATTACTGATGTTCCTACACAAGCTGCACATAATGATTTTTCTTCTCCTCCACATACCCCCTCGCACATTTCATTTGCCACTCACAATGTCAGATCATTCACTAACATTGCCAGACAACCCTCTGTAGTTGAATTGTATTCTTCACTCAACTTAGATATTATTGGGCTACAAGAGACAAACTTTTCTTCCTTTTATACATATACTTTTAACCGCATGTTCACATACAACTTCACTGGCTTCTTTGATTCAATCTCTGATTCTCAACCGCAGAAATCTGGTTTTGGTGTGGGTCTCTTACTCCGTCTGCAACTAGCGAATCCTATTTTTCATGATGAATTTAAGCATAATCATATTATTCTTGTAGATCTACAATTCGCCAATAAACAAAGTTAAGAGTGATTAATTGTTATTCTTCACCTAGCAATCATACTATCAGGAAACAGATACAAGTGGACCTCTTAAAATATATTCAAGAGGCATATGCGAATAATTATCATATGGTAAAGCTAGAGGACCTTAACACAGACATTGACAATTCTAAGCTGCACTCTCAAGACAAAAGATTTTTTGCTAGTTTGAACAACCTCAATTTGTTTGACACTTTCACAGTCAAATATGATACACAAAGATCAGATTATCCCACTCATCAAGGTCTAATGTCATCCTCTCAGATAGATTACATTTGGTCTTCAGTTGATGTCATCTCAAACTTCATAGGTTGTAAAACAGTTCAGCTTGCATCTACTCTAACTGATCACTCTATCGTCATCCTTTATATTGAAAACTCCTTAAATGTTAAAAATAATAAGAAAAATGTTCCTTTGAAAAAGGTCTATAACTATGACAAAATGACTGAAGATAATTGGTCAACCTTCGCTAATAAGACAGATGCTTTGGCTAATGGTTGCTATTTATGTTGCCTTAACAACAAGACCATACTTGATCAGAATAAGTTAAACCAATTTTAGGATCTCTTACAAGAATGTATCATTAAGGCTGCAGACTCTACGATTCCATCACAATAATCCAAAGGACACCATACCATAAAGAGACCTCCTCTCCTGTCAAAATTATATAAAGACCTTAAGCTGCTATATAAACTGAAGAGATTGATAAAGAAAATGGTGATCACATCCAGTCTTCTTACACAATGGTATACTTCAATTGACAAATTCTACACTATTATGAATGATTTTGACATAGGATATGTTAGGCTTCCCCCTAATCCTATGGCTATTATTGCAAAATCAATTTGCTCTGATATTGATCTGCTGCTGGGCTGCATTCTTGTAAAATCAAAATTACATGAATATGAGTTTAAATTAAAATCTATTCAACTCGCTATTGAAAGAAGATTGGAAAATTTTAATATTTCACCTGCACAAATGACTAATTCTCTTATGGACCGCTCTAAATGAACAATTATCATTGACAGATGTATTAATAATGGTTCACCATCACGTGATCTCTTGACCAATGAAGATGATGTCAAAAAGGAAGTGGCTAGACATTTTCAAATGGCGGCTGGTACTTCTCACGAGAATGTGTAAATGGACGAGAAGTGGCTCCCATTCTATCAACCATTAGAGGATGTTCACAGCTCCATATACAATAACCTAATGACTCTGCCATCAGCTGATGAATGGTATAATATTATCACTCAACTCCCTAATGGTAAAGCCCCTAAGCCATCCAAGGTGTCCAATGAAATGCTCAAAAATCTTGGTCCTTTGACTAGAAAATTACTCTGGTATATTATTTGTGGTTGCTTAGAGTTATCTTCACTTCCACACAGATGGAATCATGCTTTCGTTTACCCAATTCCCAAGCCTAAACCATGGGAATATGACTTAAACAATACCAGACCTATAACTTTGTTAGAATGTTCACGAAAAGCTCTCATTAAATTATTAAATTATCAACTTTCTAATATTTTGATTAGAAATAATGTTCTTAAAGGACTCAACTTTGCTAGCTTACTATTCAAATCCACTTTTGAACCCTTACGTATAATCGACAACATTAAATACAACGCATCACACAACCGTAAAGACTTATGGATTTTATTGTAAGATATGTCCAAAGCTTATGATCAGATCAATATATTTATGCTTATTAAAGTGTTGGAACGGCTGCACATTCCATTTAATTTTCTTAGATTTGTCCTTAAGATATTTGAAAATCGCCATAATCAGATCTTTACACTTTTTGGCAACACTGATTCTTACAAAGTTATTTCTGGAATTGATCAGGAAGAGATTATTTCACCTTTATTATGGTGTATTTATTACAAACTTTTGCTTTATCGTGTACAGAATTCAACGCTTGGCTATTCCTCTTCACTTATATGAAAACCTAATGTTTTAGTAAATGAAACAGAATCTGTCTCCCTCAAAACTTTAGCACTTGCATATATGAATGATACTTTCTGGATTGCAAGATCACGTGAGGATCTTACCAATATTGTTACTATCTCTGAAAGTTTTTATAAACTCAATCATATTAAAGTAAACTGGAAGAAATCAGTCCTTATGATCAACAATGCTAGAGATACACAACCTCTCATATGTGATATAAATGGTAATCTCACTAGTATTAACTTACTACCACTTAATGATTCCACTCGTTACTTAGGTGTTTGGATTTCGTTAGGAAGAAATAAGACCTTCACTGTTGATTTGCTTAAAAAAGAAATCAAAAATGCAATAACCATTATGTTAAAAAAGAAGATGACTGATAAACAACTGGTGTATATATTTAATACTATTCTTATACCATGAATTAAATATCGTACCCAATTAACTGTACTCACAATGGCTCAATGTGACGCTCTTGGTTCAACTTACAGAGCTTTCATGAAGAATAAACTACATCTATCACGAAGTACTCCATTATCTGTGTTCCACTCTAATTACTTTTACAACCTCATGGATCTGCATCATCGTCTTCTCACTGCACATAGTAAAATACTACATTTCTCTCTTAATGATTGCAATTTACTTGAAGAGTCCACAAGATTGCGTATTAGACAACTTCAGCAAAAAGAATGGCTACATATTTCTCCTTTGATCGTATGACCGTATCTGTCTCATAAATCAAATGATTGGGTTGCTAATCTGCTTTGCAATTGGAAGTGACTCAATATTACTATACAACTTTCTGACTCAGAACATTTTATTATTAAAGGCAGTTCAACTCCTTTATCCTCAGTATTGCTCCCCTATGAATACAAGGCTTTCTCTGTGAACCTGAGAAGATATTCCTTACTATTTGTTGAACAGTTAGTCTTTTCAGCTGGCAAGATCATGTTAACCTTTACGATCTTAATATATTATCAGGATTCCTGCTAACATAGCACATTCCATGTTGGTTTTTAACCCTCCAAGATAGATTATTATTAAATGATCAGGATAGAAGCATGCGAGCTTTCTATTCATATTCGAACAACTGTATATTTGACTTTATACCTCTTAGCAAGAAAGCTAGTATAATTGAATTTGTGCTTGGCTGGAATTATGATCACAACACCCCATTTATTGGACGTTTTCTTAAAACAGAATAACACTATGTACACATATTGCACGTGCTTCTGATAAGTACCCAGGATAATAGAACTTTGTTCTCTAATTGTAGTCATTGTGTTCTTCACGACTGTCAAACTTTTGTACCTTATCAAACTGTCAACAAAGAAAACAAATATTTTTTTATAGTGCCGATCAATCTCTGTTTTATCATTCTGACAAATCATAATCGTAACTCGACTCATGGTTGTTCATGGTCTATTAATTTACTAAATGAATTGGCTAATGCTTTTATCCATCATTGTAGTATTCCACCGTCCCTTATACCTGCAATTGATGTTATTTCTCCTGTTCCTCCTTTCTTTATCGAAAAATTTGTACCTTTATCATATTGTCACCAGGAATAATCTTCTCTGATTACTTCACGTAATATATCTAAGTTCCTTTACTGTAGTGAGTAACTTCCTTATCGTCGGACTTTACAACCTTAGGAAATCTTACGTCCTACAGGTATCCGAAATGCTTAGGAATTACTTCACTTGATTTACGAACTTAAGGGTTTAGGGACTTAGGAAATTTAGAGAATTTATATATTCTAAGT